ATTGTATCTAAATATATTTACATTATCGAAAATTTAACGAAACAATTTTTCACTTTCAAAACTCTCTAATTTGTATCGAAATATTTTTATATTATCGAATATTAATATTTTATTAATATTTTTATTTTATCTCTAATTTAACCTGAGCCCATAATTTTGTTAAACCAAGCTGTTGTATGTCTAAAACTATTTTTAGGATTACAATAAATTTTGAAGGTGAAGAAAAAGACAGAATCCTAAAAGCTAGTTGGATTTGAGACAATTCCCTGTATGTACTCCCCAACAGTTGAACTTTGCATGTACTTTTGATTTTGTAGGCGTCCCCGCGCTACTAAAAGTTTTTGTAAAGGTCCGCGTTCACTGAATGCGCAAATAGGCATTCCACTTTTCGAAACTGATCTTTTTTTTTTCAAAAAAAGTTAATTTAATCGAAAAGTTTTTTTTTTTTCGAAACTGATTTATCTCATCATTTTTTCGAAAATTGTTTACCTTTTTTTTTCGAAAATAATTTAGCTAATCGAAATGGGTTATTTTTATCGAAACTAATTTAACTTTTCGAAACTTATTATTTTTTTTTTCCGAAGTTTATTTTTTTATATTTAACTTTTCGAATTTCAACTTAAAATTCGCAATTATTTTAGTATATGTATATTTTTTCGCAATTAAAATGAGTTTTTAAAATTAAATTTAAGTTTTCGAAATTATTTTTCGAAACTTTTTACAAAATTTTACGAAAATGAACCTGAGTTAAAACGACATTTTACAATGATACTTTTTTTACGAGACAATGAGAAAAACTGTAACTTTCGGAAACATAAAAATGACTTAAATAAATTTTAACACTTAATGTATTATTTAAATAAATCTTCATGTGTCTACATCAACATTGAATTGCTAAAAGTTTACGAAAAGAAGAATAAAATTTGACTTCTTTTTCATTTTCCGCCGTGGAATTGCCCATATATACTGCAGGCCCGTAGTAACAAAAATTATATTGGGGGCAGGGGGTCAGTACTGGATTAAGGGGCCCCAAAATAGTTTGAAGGACCTTTTTTTTTTTTAGTTATTTTTTCAGTCAATTTTTTCCTAATTATTATTTGAAAAATTTTTTGTGGGGCATGCCCCTACTGCCTTCACGGTTGCTACTGGCCTGTACTGAGTATATAGGCTCTCTAATTTACAGTAGAACCCCATTGACTTGGAATCTGAAGGACAAGGCCAACGACACGGGTTTCGAAGTGGAGGGGCACAATTGTCAATTTCTAAAAAAAGTCTAAGGCTTCATATATATATTTTCCAACGTAGTGATTGTCCAAATTAAGCAAAGCTCTTGTTATGTCACACTTTTAAAAAATGTCCGACTTACCGAGATTTGGACACAGAATGAGACAGGAATGTTTTGGGGTTGGGTATTTAAAAGTCACACATAACAGGCTTTATCCAAATCTTTATTTTGGGAGACTTCCATCCTCACTCGAAGTTTTCGCGAAGTTTATATTTTTCGATTTCAGAATATACTGTATTTTTTGCTTTTGACAATCCAGACAATAATTGTTTTGGAATTCCATATTTCTTTGATATAGTTACAAATGATTTTCATTTGTCGAGTTCTTTTGGTATATATTTTTCTATTATAGTTTTACTTGTTAGCTTTCCTTTAGCAACCTTTTACTTTTTTTAACAAATAAAATTTAAACAAAAATTAACCGATTCGAAGATATCAGTGAAAAAGCTTAGTTTGTTAAATTATATTTTACGCAAAGGTATTTAATTTTCGAGAGTTCCACGTTTTGAATGTTTTTGAATTTTTAATATATATATATATATTTTTTGTTATATATTATTAGTCATTAATAAACAGAATTTAATCAAAGCTTAACCGAATTGAAAATATCAGTAAAAATGAAATTATATTGCTAAAAAGTCGTGATGTTTATAGGGAAGAGTAGGGAGAAGTTATCCTTTTGATATAATGCATATACTGAACCAAACAAGTTTTAACAGTAGCTATAGAATTATCATTATTTAGTTGCCAACGACAGAGCAATGATATGTAGCTATTGATATATTTTAACAACATCGCATACATCTTGTATTAAAGATACTTATTTCTGATTAAGTAGCATTTTAACTTCAGATGTTTAAATATGGTATAACAAGAAACTTACTAAAATTATTTAATGCTTCAAAAATTTTTATATATTGCAGCACAAAATTTAAATTAACAATGCTTAAGAGGGAGAGAAAAAGAAAAGCCTCAGCTAGTGCAAGGCATTCATCAATTCTAGACGGTCCTCAGAAATACACACGACAAGCTCCAAATATTTATATTAGGTACGCGTAAATCCGACCATAACGGAACCGTTTTCTTTGTCCAAATTTTGTGCCACGTTTTTTCAGTGTTTTCAAGAATGGTAAATATGAACATATTTTCCTGTGTTATTTTTTTTGAAATTTGTATCAACATAAATTTTGAGTATTAGAATAGTTTAACTTTAATTTTGCACGGAAATGTTTTTTGAAAATTTAGTTTATAATGAATTTTTTGCTGTTTAAAACTTTTTTTCTAATATATTCAGATATCATCAAAAACTCTATTTCTTGCTACCTGCCAAATTTCATATAAAAAAGTACCTCCAGACATCCTACTTACTTATCAAAAATGAGTACCTATTTGACTTGAGTTCCGCTATACACACGATTAGTACCATAATAAACATTAATAATGTTTTAATGTATATTATGATATAAAATAATAATGAATAGCATATATAAAATATACAAAACTTAAAAAATGTAAAAAATAAAATCAAAATTTCAATAAAAAATAAAAATTTTATTTAAAAAGCCTAGATTTTAAATATATTAAAGTGTGTTATAGACGTCCTTCTAACGCCCTGCATATATATTTTATGTATCCTCGCTCTCTTTTTGAAGACATTTCTTTTGGTACCAAAATTTATGAATTTTGATAAAAATTAAAAAAGTTATGACATTTTAAGTTAAGAAAAACTTAAAATTTGGTCTCGGTTTCTTTAACAAATCCTTGTATCAAAAATCTGGTACTTAAAATGCTATAACTTGTTGTTGAAATTTTTTATTTTGAAATACTGTTTTCAAGGTTTTTCCAATGGTTTATAACAATTTAGTATTAGATTAATTTAAAAATTTCATGTCACATCTCTATTTATATGTTTATAATTATGACAAATAAAGATGCTTTGCGAAAAATTGCGACGATTGGAGCTTGGGAACAAAAAAACTCTAAAGTTCTCACTCCTTTGCCCCAAACATAAGAGCAACAAGTTGATGAAATATTTTTTTTAATATTCTTAACTAAATTTATTTTAATCGATGAATTTTAAATTTTATAGTATAGTCTCGGTTAAAAATTAAGTCTATATAATGTTTAAAAAATTGATCAGGTTTTAAGTTTTTTGAATTTTAAAAGGTCATTAAATACAATTTTATTAATCACATCTGCTTTTCTTTAAACTCTTGCAACTTAGTAATTCTACGTATAATAAATTTGCTTCGGGAAGGGATTAATATATTGGTTTCCACTAGCCACCTGACATTTTTTACACTTGTTTTAAATGAATTGTACCAAAGAAAGTAATGTTTTACATATTTAGCAGTTTAAAATTATTTAAATTTAGTTGTTGCACCATAAATATTAAAATTAATGTAAAAAATAGTAATAAAGTCATTTTTAAATTGTCCGTTTCAACGACATTTTAAGCCACACCGAATGTTTGTCTAAACTTTGTCTTAACTTCTACCAAGTTAAACATAAGTTATTCACAGAGGCGATTTTAAGGAGAGAGGGAGGGGTTTGAACCTCCACCACCACCACCACAAAGGGATTTTTAAGTTATAGTCGGTTTTTTTACTAATTTAGTTGGCTGGTCAGCAGTTTGACAATTCAGTCGGTTAAATTTTCGTTTTGAGGACCATACTTTTAAAGGTTTAGGAAACTAAAAAACTTTTTTTAGTTTTATGTTTTGTTGTAAGAGCAAAATAAAGTTAATATATTTATTTATAATTTATATTTAGATACAATAAGTATACATATTTAGATATAGTTATATTTATATAATAATTAATATAGTTAAATAGTTGCGAAAAATAAAATAAGTTTTTAAAAGTTTCTCTTGTTTGCTAAGTTCTCACTTTAGGTGCTCCAAATAATTATAAGATTTGAACTTATCATTTCGAAAAGAGCAAAAACCATTTATTAAAAATTTTCAAAATCAACAAAAAAATGTTTTTATAAAAAAAAACCAATGGTGCTAAACATAGGAGCAGATCAATAAAAACATATATAACTTTTTCCTTTGTTTATAAAAAAACATGTTATACTGAAACTTTTATTTTAAATTTCAAATCTAACTGTTAAGAGTTTTGGACTTGCGTCCGTTACATAATAACACGGTTAAACTTTATTACTTGCCATTTCATTGACGAAATTACAAAAATATTGATAAAAAAAAAAAAGACAGAAAAACTGAAAATAACTAATTTTTCTTTTTTTGTATTTATGCTAAACTACAAAAGTTAGGAGCATTTTTTGTTAGTTTATTTATAATATTGATATGCTTATTAACATGATCAATTTTATACTATATCACTAAAAACGCTTTAGATGTGACTAAAATGATTCAATTTAATTTAATGATAATTTAATTACATTTTAATGACACAGCAATAGTTTTCGTGTCCTCAGTCCAATGACGCATTCATTAAAATACTTTTTAACAATAATCCATAGCCATTTTATATGTATTGTTAAATTTTAACATCATTATTTAGTTAATTTATTTAAAAGTTATAATATATAGAACATTTAAATCGTATTGAAAAGCAAAAATCACCAAAATAAATATTCTTATATTAAATAAATATTCTTATATTTAGCACCTTTTTGTTACCTTACGTTCAATTATTTAAACATTAAACTTATTCATGCATATATTAGAAAGTTTACAAAAAAAAATTACCCAACTTCTTTTATTATTATCGTCCAATCCTACTCCAGTGTGAAGTTGTTCTAATGTTGGTCTAAGAGCTCTATTCATGTTATCATGGTTATGGTAAAAAACCGATAACGGTACGGCATCGTGGGTTAAGTAATTCAATGTTAGATTATCCAAATTGCTAATTTTATTTCCCTTGGTGCATGAATTTTCATCGAATGTATCTTCAATTTCTTCATCATCATAAGAGGGTTTCTTATAATCATTATTTGTAGGTATACTAAATTTAGGCTCATCAACATCTAATCCTTTATTCTCAAATACATTCATGTTAATTTACTATATCTATTTAAAAACAGTGGTTAAAACAAACTTTTGCAATTAAATTAAACTACAGTCAAACAACATAAACAGTGGTTAAAACAAACCTATTCAACTTAATAAAACTATAATTAAACAATAAAAACAACAACAAGAACAAATTTATTTACCAAAACCACTCATAAGAATCAAATAATGTTACTATTGTTAGTAATAGTATAAATATGTCTCTTATACATCAGTGTCAGAATAAGGTTGCTAAAACAGAAAATATATTTATAGCAATATTTTGCGTGAAAAAAATTTCAAACCGTTGCTATTTGCATTGTATGCAGTATACAAAAATTATGGAATTAAAATTTCACATAATTGGAACAACTACTCAAAATTGGTCGACCATGTCTAATTAAAAAATAGATTACTTCCTACAAATATGATGTAATATAATGGATTTGTTAGACAATAAAAGATAAATGCATTTTTAACAATCTCTTTTTAAATATGCAAACTTTTAAGTTAGCGCATTTAAATAGTTGACAACCAACTTATCAGTTTATATTTATAAAACAATTCATCTTGACAATACCGATTATCTTGACAGATTTTGAATCTTTTCTACAATATTACAATTATTGTATTTAAACCACATCAATAAATAATATACAAAATAAAACGTCTTACTGTAAAATTGCCTACGTTCGGTCATTTAAGCTTTGAGCATTTATTTATCGCATAATTACGCATAAATAAAAAAATTTCAATGTTTTTTCCTAAAACATATAGAAATTATATTGATAATCGATAATGTAAAAATAAAAAAAATGAAAAATAAAAACTAGTACTCAATATTTTGTTCAAAATGAAAACATCTACTTTGACCGAACTTTCAGTACCATCTCATAAGTTCGGCCACTATATAAATACTACTAATATATATATATATATATATATATATATATATATATATATATATATATATATATATATATATATATATATATATATATATATATATATATATATATATATATATATGTATATATATATATATATATATATATATATATGTTTATATATATGTTTATATATATATATATATATATATATATATATATATATATATATATATATATATATATATATATATATATATATATATATATATATATATATATATATGAGTTTGAGTTTATATATATATATATATATATATATATATATATATATATATATATATATATATATATATATATATATATATATATATATATATGAGTTTGAGTTTATTTATTTCAGAAATCAATTATATAATACATTTATATATTTTGATAAGGAAGTGCTACACCAGGCACTTCCATGCTGAAAGAAGACACTCGTGTGTCCGCTATATATATATATATATATATATATATATATATATATATATATATATATATATATATATATATATATATATATATATATATATATATATATATATATATATATATATATATATATATATATATATATATATATATATATATATATATATATATATATATATATATATATATATATATATATATATATATAACTATATATATATAACTATATATATATATATACTAATAATAAATAATAACCTATCACAAACTTAACGTCACATATAATGAAAACTAATTTTTAAATGTTGATTTATTGTAAAATTATGATATAAACTCAGGTAATACCAGTAACTTAGGAGAGCGTCGCCCAGTGCTCGAAAAAAAAAGTCTGTGGCACCAAAGAAAACAAGAAGGAGCACATAAAAAAAGGCCTTTTTAAATATAAGTAGTAGTATTTTTAATTTTTATTGTAATTAGTCAACTATTTTATTACCTTGGCCATCATCACATTTGCTACGCTACTGGTTAATAAAGTTTAAAAAATATTTTTCAATTAATTTAAAAAGGTTTTTTTAATTAACAAAAATACACTATTTTGCTTCAAATAAGTTTTGTATATTTATTGGTAATTTCTGCACCTATTGTTGACCATAGTAGAATAGCAAGATCCATACAACCAATTGCCTCGGGATTCATAAATATATCCATAATTGTTGTCGAGCTGTAATTTTATCTCCAAGTTATTTTGAAATTATGAACAAATTTTTTATTCAAATAAAATATCATGTGTACCTATTTTAAAATTGTCAAAATTTACTGATAAAGTTACCGGTAAATTTTACCTTCGCAACACTTATTAACATTTCACAATATTACAACTAATTGTCTCCTTTATTTTTTATCCCTGAATGACCGGAATTAGAATATTTCAAAATTTCACTAAATTTTATAAAAAGAAGTTGTTAATTTGTAAATATAATTAATTTGGTGATTCTTAATAAAACTAAGATTAAATTCGATCATTTATTTTAATAATTTGCTTATTTTAGATTTTAATAGTATGCATTTTGCATAATTTGTTTTTTTGCTAAAGAATTATTTCATCAGGTTGCATATAAACATTAATTATTTTTTTTATAGGTTCATATTTACGAACTAATTACAAATATTATTTGAGAACTATATTTACGAACTAATTACAAATATAATTTGAGTTTTGCATTATGTTCTCTTTCAAGTTATATGTTGACTGTTTTCTCAATCGTAAGTTATTCATTTTATAGAAATAAATGAAACTTGGTAAACCAGGGTGTAAATTTTGCAATTGTTATTATATATGTGGAATTTTATACATGTGGAACTATTTACAATCGTTTTAAATAACTCCCAGCTTTTAACTGAATCTTTAAACTTACCGGTGGGAAATGTGCTAGCGAATAATTATAATCGTAAGCTATATATATACTAGCTATAATCGTAACGATAAAGACTAAAGCAGATATGGCCACGAGGGTCGTTTGCTTTTTTAAGTTCGAGAAAAGCTATTGATATTTGTAAAAATAAAGACAGCGATTTGGCTACGAGGACAGCTTAAAAAGCTAAAGACCCACTGGCTATTGTAGCAAGCCTCATATATATGACGCTAAATATCAAAAATTTTTAGACAGCTATTTTATTACGATATCTTAATAAAACAGATCTCTAAAAATATTTGCTATGTAGCTATTAACCAACTATAGATTTGTAGATATTTTGCAGCTAGCTACAAAGCTACGATATGTGTTAGCGACACATTGTAACAAAATCACAAATTTAAAGTTCAATTATTCTCATAATTATAATAGACTTAACACTAAAAATTGAATTTTTAAAGATTAGGAAAAAATAAAATAAGAAATAAAAAATTGCTTTAAAATTACTATAAAGCTAGCTAGTCGCTAGTCCGGTATAAAAAAGTTTTTTAAAACACCTCTATATATATATATATATATATATATATATATATATATATATATATATATATATATATATATATATATATATATATATATATATATATATATATATATATATATATATATATATATATATATATATATATATATATATAGGGTAAAGTAGGGTAATTTCGGCGTATTAAGCTATTTTGCTGTTTATAGACAACGGTTGCTTTAATAATGTTAAAAAATCATGCATATCGATGCACTGCAGATATATCTATTAGTTAAAAATATATCTAATAGTTAAAAAATTGTTTCCAACTTACAAAGTTTTACGTAAAACCTGTTTTACAAAATATTCAAAAATGACGAAATTAGCGACCTAGTATGGTATTTTCGGCACTATGGTAAATTCGGCATAGTTATGAAAATTACGAAGTTTGTTGAAAGCGCATTAGTATATTTAAAATATTATAAACAGCTATAAATCTGGATTGTATAAAGAATTGTCTCTTAAATAGAATTTGTTACACCTAAATGGCACTTAATTAAGGGCGTTTCAGTTGCAAAAAATAATAATTTTTGAACCACCTATTTATTTTATTAAAGTATGAATGTCATGTATTTTTAAAATTTGAATGTCACCTTTTTTATTAAAGTATGAATGTCACCCAAAACAGAAACCTTATTAAATATAAATGCGCTTCCAAAGTATAATTGTTAATGAAACGATTACTAATTTCTACGATTTCGATGATTATTTCTAAATTCTGTTTAAATAAGAATTTATGTTTATAAGCTCATAAGTAGTTCATAAAATAATATTTTACATAACTTCAATAGTTAAACTTAAAAAAATAAAAAACAAAACTCAAAGGAAACTTTTTTAACAAGAGATTTATTTAAGAAAGTTAAAACACATTTTATCAATATATGACATATAACTTTTTTTTTAAGAACCAGTGCTTTATACAGTCATCACAAGTAAATACTTTTTTAGTACAAACACCACATATAGCAGCACATGTTTCATGCCACCATCTACAGCATTTAAGGCATTTATCCCAATTATCTTTTAAATATGGATCAACAGGATCACCATAACTGTATTGACACTTTGCACCAAGTTGTTTATTAATCGCACCTTTAGCATCAAGGTTTTTCAAACACGTCTTTTGATGAGTAGATATACTTTTTTTAATGCACTTTTTCTGTTCTTATATTTCGAGTTTAAAGATTCCTCAAGCTGAGATTTATATGGTGATCCAGTATTTTTTCAGCATGATTTACCCTCCTTTTTATACTTGTTCGCTTTGCATTTTTAATGTCAAGTCCAGCTAGTGATCCAAATGTAACACCATAAGGTTGTGAAGTTTCATCGTGTGAGGTGGCTAATTCTGATGACTTCTGAAGTGTAAATGATGAATTTGGTGAAATAGATTCTAAATAAAAATTATTTAACTAAAGAGGGTGACTAAAAATAGGCAACATGCAAATTATAAAAAATAGTTAAAATGTTTTTAAAAAACTTGAACTTTCTTTAAGAAACCTTTTTTTAGGTTAATAAAACAACAGATAAGTTAATATTTTGCTTGATTTTAAAAAAGTCATATTTGTATTTTAAATAAAATGCAGAAGATGTTAAAAATAATACAACATTTATGACGATTTACCTTTTTGAGTGTCAATAACACAATCTGTAACAAAATCAATATTATCTAATTCTTTAGCAGTCTAACC